AAGAGTGCACACCATCTGATTACTGTTAAGCCAGATTCCCAGAAGGCAGGGCCATACAAATGTTTGCTGATCCCAGGCTTTTTCTATATCACAGATAGAGAGGAAACCCGTAAAGATACTAATCCATGTTCCCGGGCATGGTGTGACATGGGGGAACCTTGAATGTTAGCATGAACCATGTTCGGGGCATGGTGTGACATGGGAGAACCTGGCACGTTAGCATGAACCCATGTTCGGGGCATGGTGTGACATGGGAGAACCTGGCGTGTTAGTATGAACCCATGTTCTGGGCATGGTGTGACATGGGGGAACCTTGAATGTTAGCATGAACCATGTTCCAGGCATGGTGTGACATGGGAGAACCTTGAACGTTAATATGAACCATGTTCGGGGCATGGTGTGACATGGGAGAACCTGGCGTGTTAAGAACCTGGCATGTTAGCATGAACCCATGTTCGGGGCATGGTGTGACAGTTAGCATGAACCATGTTCCAGGCATGGTGTGACATGGGAGAACCTGGCATGTTAGCATGAACCCATGTTCGGGGCATGGTGTGACATGGGGGAACCTTGAATGTTAGCATGAACCATGTTCCAGGCATGGTGTGACATGGGAGAACCTTGAACGTTAATATGAACCATGTTCGGGGCATGGTGTGACATGGGCGAACGTGGCACAGTAGCATGAACCACGTTCCATGCATGGTGTGACATGGGAGAACCTGGCGTGTTAGTATGAACCCATGTTCGGGGCATGGTGTGACATGGGAGAACGTGGCACAGTAGCATGAACCACGTTCCATGCATGGTGTGACATGGGAGAACCTTGAACGTTAGTATGAACCCATGTTCGGGGCATGGTGTGACATGGGAGAATCTTGCACTTTACTGTGAATCACGATGACCTGTGGGATTTGTGTAAAATAGAGGTAGGATAGGAGGGTGGGACACAGGAGTTTGGGGCAGTGAAACTACTGTGATGCCACAGAGATAGACATCTGTCACTCACTCTGCCTCTGTCCAAGCCCATAACGTGGGAAACACCAAGAGAGGACAATGCTAATGCATACCATGGCCTGGTGGTGGTGATGTGTCCGTGCAGGTTCACCGGTGTAACAGGTGCCCCTCCGGTGGGGTGGTGGGGAGCCTATATGTGTGTTGGGGCAGCAGGAACACGGGGAATCTCTGCGCCTCCCACTCAACTGTGCTATGACCCTGAGCTGCTCTAAAAATAGTCCATTAGAGAGAAAGTCGAGCTGCCTTGGCTCCGTTTCAGAACTGCTGGCTCAGTGCCCGGGTGCCCTGTGGTTGGCTGGCTCCCACGTGACCCGTGGCTGTGTGAGAACCTCGGGCCTGGCATTGGCCGTGGCCTCTCTGCTCTGTGAGCTCAGGGCACACTGGGCAGGGCTGGCTCAGCCTGTTCCTTCCAGGATGCCCAATATCTACTCTGGACGTCTTCCCCCAAAGGGAAAGCCCGAATGCAGCTCCCGGCACACTTGTCGCCTGGGTTCTGGGGCCACTCTGGCACCGCCAGAGCCACTTGCAGTCGGAATGTTGCCTTTAATCTTCTTTCTGTTAATCCTCACCCAAGGGTACCCCACTCTCCCATTGATCGTAGAGAGAGTGGAAGGGAGGGGGGGCGCACAGAGAGAGAAACATGGATGTGAGAGAGACACATCATCTCGTTGCCCACCGCCCCACATGTGCCCTGACTGGGGACAGGGATCGAGCCTGCAACTGAGGTACATGCCGATGCTCTAACCTCTGAACCAAACAGGCTAGGTAGGGCCAGAATGTCGCTTGTAAAGGCTGGTTTGAGTTGTGCAGGGGTCTGAATGGGAAGAAGCAGAAACATTAAGAGCAGCATCTACAGACCTGCAAAGGGCACCACCGTAAGGCGCCGAGGGCGGAGTGCACAGAGAAGGTGGGAAGGCAGGTCATAAATCATCGCTAGGGGAAGAAGCCCTTGACAGCCCATGACGATTTCGAAAGGGCATTTCCTGGCAGTCTCCGGAAGGTCTATGTGTTCTGAATGTGTTTCTTAATCGCGCCTGAATATCTTTAAGCAGCTTTGTGGTCCACGGTACCTTGAGCCTGAAACCCAACAGGGATTTAGGGACTATCGCCGATGCATGTATCACTACACAGAGCTGAGCCAGTAGCAAGGCTGTGGAGGGAGCGCCTACATCATCATCCCTGGGGCGGAGGGCAGACGATTCCTAGAGCTGCTGTGCTCTCTTTAAACGAAAACTGCCAGCCCTGGTCAAACAACAACAACAAGCTACCCTGACAATTTGTCCCCTGGTGTCTCTATTCAAAGGGCTGGTTAAAATGACATTATCCCACACATTCTACGCCCACCCCGCAGCTATAACGTATTGTATGATGGCCATTGAGGTAGCTGACTTCCTGTTGCTTTAGAATCAACTTTCTGCCCTTTAACCATACGTGCTGGTCTCTTTTCCCGCCCGTTCCCTCACTCCTCTGACCTGAGCCAGGGCCGCCCTTCAGGTCACGGACACACCTACGAACAGGCTTGCTCAGGAATGTTTCCGTGTAAATGCCCCGCCTGCATCCATGAGACGTGTCAGGCTTCTAAGTGCATTTTTTAAAAAAATAATTGAAGTCCAAGGTCATAAGTCCTAATTTCTTGATTGCCTATTCCATAGATGCTTTATAATTTTCTAGAGAACTATTTTATGTTCATTTATATAAGGATTCCAAGGTGGATATAAGATGTATGCACCAACAGGCCTCCTGAAGGACTGTGATGGGAGGATCGCTGCTGCTAGAATAGAATTGTTGTATAAATCGCGGCATGAGAATTTGCCAAATGCATGGAGTTTGTGAAGGACAGCATTTTTCCTGTTTATTTTATAGTCTATTTTATTTCACTCTTTTTTTTTTTCAAGTGTGCTGACCCATCAAGAGGAAAGAGCTCGACAAATCCTCTTGAACGGAAGATAAGGTGCCTGGAAAAACAGAGAAAAGAGGTAATTTTGAGTTGAATCAACATGCGCGGTGGACTGGGGCTGAGAATAGCACAGAGTGTATCACCCGGATGCATCTTTCATTTTGTTACGGGGTCACAGTCACTACCTCTAGGACAGTGATGGCGAACCTTTTGAGCTCGGCGTGTCAGCATTTTGAAAAACCCTAACTTAACTCTGGTGCCGTGTCACATATAGAAATTTTTTGATATTTGCAACCATAGTAAAACAAAGACTTATATTTTTGATATTTATTTTATATATTTAAATGCCATTTAACAAAGAAAAATCAACCAGAAAAACGAGTTCGCCTGCCATAGGTTCGCCATCACTGCTCTAGGGGCTGGACTTCATTAGTGTGAGAGCAAGTGCTTTTCTTAGTCACCTACTTATCTCCTACTTGCTCTCTCAGTACAAATGGATGATAAATCCCAGGATGATAATCTTAATTTTCTTTAAACTTAGAGCTTATCCCCTGTACCTGTGTCCTTGCAACCTGACACACGGTCCAAGACTTTAACTATAGCTGGCTTAGGTGCTACGACTTCGTGACCTCGGCGTCCAACTGACAGGGGTTGAAGAATGGTACCATAAAGAACGTTTGCTTCTCAGGTGTCATTGGGAATGGGACGGGAACTGTGTTTTTGAGTTCTGAATTTCTGCGTTTAATGAAGGTTAGAACCTCTTCCTTCTTCTCTGCCGGGGTTCTTGTTCCAGCATCAAGAAGGGCTCAGGAAATCTGGAGAAGGCTGTGCGTAGGTTAAATGGTCCAGAGACGAAGCATAATTTTGAAAGGCATTTGGGGGTCAGAGGAGCTTAGCGAAAGGAGCTAAGTTCTAAGGCAGCCGGGGGCAAACTACGGCCCGCGGGCCGGATCCGGCCCATTTGAAATGAATAAAACTATTGAAAAAAAAGACGGTACCCTTTTATGTAATGATGTTTACTTTGAATTTATATTAGTTCACACAGACACTCCATCCATGCTTTTGTTCCGGCCCTCCGGTCCAGTTTAAGAACCCATTGTGGCCCTCGAGTCAAAAAGTTTGCCCACCCCTGGGCTAAGGTCTAAGGTCTTAAGGTCTAAGGTCTTCTCGTCTCAGGACCCCGTGCTTTTTATTAACACAGACTGTCCCGAGGGGAGGCAGAGATACACACTTCAAAGGGTCCGTGTTTCCTACAGAGTCCATTGTCAGGTGGGGGGGAATTAGCCTACGGCTGTTCAGGTGTCTGGCCAGCAGGAGGCAGTAACATGTAGATTAAGATGCCCTGAGCTGTGTGGCAGCCAACAATCATCCCTTTTCAGGTTTGGGGAAACGCCATCAGCCATTCCCAGAGGCAGCCCTGCTGTTGCGCTGGAATTGGTGTCCGGCACTTCTCAAGGGGGAGGAGGGGGAGGTGAAAAAAGTAGCAAGTGTAGCACCGTGTATGCTGTCGATTCTGTAATTGCTCCTCTAAAATGTTCCCTGTATGACATCCTACCTGTTGCTCCTCCGTGCCCTCTACCCTCTGTGGTGCTGCATATAATACCAGCCCCCCGGAAATCCCTGAGCCACAGCGAGGCACCTACCATGGCGACCATGGCACAGAAGGCTGACCCCTAAATGCCAAGAGTTCAGCTGTACACTCTCACAATACGTACCCACCTGCGTTCCCAGCATAAGAATTACCTTGTAGCTGCCATTCTGGATTAGGTGGTTTGATTTGCAATCAGGAGAAAGTCTCTTTATCCATGTGGCTGTCTTTTGCATGGATGTCTGCTGGTGGTTGTTTGAGTTTCTCTACACCGGGAATTTGCACACTCCTGTTACAAGGAAACTAAAACACAGGTCATAGTGTCTGTTCCTTCCTTCTATGTAGCACATAGTTGTGTGTTTTTTTAAACTTTCAAACTGCTTGCCACCTAAATTATTTCTAAATATTGTCTTATGACAAAACTGTTATTCCTTGAAAATCTATATTTTTCAAAAACTCAATAGTATCCATTTGTTGATCTATATTACAAATCATGTGTGGATTTTTAAAAAGCCCATTATTGCAAGCAAATGATACTCAGTTAATGGGTTTGGAATTTGTTAGTATAAACTCTGCTTTTAAAAAAGCTGGGAGAAAGATTTCATCATAATAATCAATATAAGCACACAGAAACATATTTTAATGAATCTTACAGAAAACCATCAATACGTAGACATTTTTACCAGATTCTGGTTGGATTAAACAAAGATAAAAATTCACGAAACTAAGCCAAGCTAGCGGTGCTAATAACATGGTCGGTGGACTGGCCAAGACACGCCTCGGCGACAGCATTTCGAGAACACCGCCTTCCCCCGGGGTGTCCAAAACCTCGGCCACCTCACACGCGACTTCCTTCTGGCCAGACGTCCGCATGGGCAGAGCCTGTGCTGACTCACCACGTGTTCACGGTTGCAGCTCCTGGAGGTGAACCGGCAGTGGGACCAGCAGTTCCGAAGCATGAAGGAGCTGTACGCCGGGAAGGTAAGCGCCTGCCTGTCAATCACCCGGGGGGAGGGGGGGTAATGGGGGTGCTGGGATCCCAGGGCCGGGACTGGTGTGGAGCCAGCAGCTGAAGGAGGGATGCTGAGGGCACGGCTGCCCCTGGGCCCTGGAGGTGAATGCCGCTGTCCGTGCCCGGTCTTGGCAATGGCTCACATCCCCTCTGAAGCCATCGCGGGAGTTCTCACGCACGTGGATCGGGGCGCGTGGGGCACCTGGCCCCAGTGACAGGACCAGGGCCACAGACACACAGCTTACCTGTGGGCGAGGTCAGTCTCAGGTGCACCCATGTCACGCCAGGCCAGCTCTCCGATTCCCTCACTGGCCGCCGTGGCGACTCTGCACAGGGACACAGTGGCCCCAGGGTAGGCGACAGGTTCTCTCTCAAGCAACGTTTGCTTTGCTGTCAAAAACTTTTTTGGAGAAAATATCTTTTAAGAGGTCCAAGTCAATGTAGAGTTTAACATCCTCCCACAGCACAGAGAGGAAGAGAGTGAAGCCCCTGATAACTAGAGCGCAGAACCCGACCCAAGAGCGCAGCGAGGCGGGCAGGCCCCTGTGGTCCTGAGTCCGGGGAAGCGTGGGGGCTGCCACACTAAAGGGCATGATCTGAGCACGTTTACGCTGCGTCCGAGCGGCTGGCAGGAGCGTGATGGGGTTGGGGACGCACAGGGTTGGGGAGGTGCCATTCGCCCTCCTGCTGGGGAGCACCTGCCCCGCGGCCCCTCACTGCCCTCCGCACTCAGGGCTACAGTGGCCTGTGCGGGTCAGGCTGTGGGTTAGACGGGGCAGCGTTCCCCCAGGCGCAGACACCCCTGCCCCGCCGGCCACTCCTGGACAGTTGGGGGTGGAAGGCCAGGCCCAGAGGCCCCGTCTAAGCTCTAACTGTGCCCTGGGAGGTGGTGTGATTGGAGTCAGGGGGGAGGCTGGGGCTCTGGTCAGGGATGCAAATGCCCCGGCCTTGGTCAGGGCGTGGGATGGACCTTGTGTGGGACCCCCAGGAGCGGGGCCTGGCTGTCCCTTATTCGCTAGCTGAGAAGACCCAGGGGTGTGGGCTCCAGTGGGGGCAGGAGTGGGAGCTGTAACCCTCTGTGCCAACCTCCCCAGCTTGCAGAGCTGCAGACGAAGCTGGAGGCCACAGAGCGACTCCTCAGCGGCCTGGAGAA